GTGAAAACCCTAACCAGGAAACTGGGTCACATAGGTCCTGTTGGCTCCCTAGCTGGGGACCTCGGGATGATCGTAACCGATGGTTAGAGACACTGAGCGATNACTTTTAACTTTCCTTTCTTCTCCTATTCTTCATCCAAATGGGCAGCCAAAAGACAGCAACCAAAACCGGCGTACGAATATGCGTGGGTAATTGCTGTACAAACTGAAACTGAAAGGGTCTCTAACTAGCGATTACAGTGATTTTTAACGGGATTTTTCTACGTCGAAAGGACAGTGTTTCATATTTCCTAATCAGGCCGCATTTTGATCCTCGTTCACCTAGTACCTGCCCTGGCAAACATCGCACCCCGAGAAAGCTGATCATGCGACGTGCAAAACCACATCCCTCAATCAGCCTACATTATGAAGCTTAAGCATTGGAGTCAGTGAGCGAACACGATAACGCAAGCTCTGCGCCTAAGCGCGACAAAACTTATCAAGTTAACTGAAGGAATTTCTGTTCCAAAATTTGGTGAAGATCAAAATTACGGTCGAGGCGTCTGCAGTCTAAAGGTAGCTTGATTCTCACGCGAGCACTGTTCACGTGCTGCAGACTACCAACGGAGCATAATGCTTTCAAAAAGCTTCCAGGCGGTGGTTTTTACATGGAGATCCATCCTCGTTCCCGCAATTCAGGAATCTGATCGATTAGCTATATTCATCTGGGACTGGTCCAATTTTGCATTCTGAACGCAAGAGTTTCTTAAACTCCAAGATTAAGGTTGAGCATTCATCGCTAAAAGTTTATGCGAATCTATCTAAACTATGGATCGTATATCACTGAAGGTAATTTATATCCCGGATAATTCCTATTCCAGAAGGTTCAAATGAAAGTAACGGCTAGTAATTATACACTTGAGGCGGAAGTTGGCAAATCTGTTGATACCAGCTAGCTGAACTATCCTTGAAATTGCAGTATACATCGACTATGACTGGCGCAATATTATGTAAATGTGAATAAACTACACCAAAATCGATCAGCATCTGGTTATTTTAAACTGAAAGACTGCGAGATGAATTAGAAATCGTGTTTACTCAAACAGGAGAAAACTCCAAAACCTGTACCAAGTGACCTCCTATAAATACTGCGAGTTCGATTCACTTCGATCATCATCAGAATAAGTTTTCACTGCCACTGGTCATTGGTGTTTCACAATAATTGGCATAGCCGTCCCAGAAAAAGTCCTTCAAAAAAGACTGATGTAAATAAATAAGTTTATCCGTTACCTTACCCTTTGGATGAGCCATCCTCATAGGTGGGGAATTTGATGGAAGAGGCTTTGCGGAATACCTGACCCAAATCGAACCGCGTGGTAGACCTGGCAAGATGGGTCACATGAAGCACATTCCAGTTGAAATCAGACATTTGACGTGCGGTCGGCACACACCAGTCCGATTGATCATTCCGGGGTGAGCGTGAACAAATATGTACACTGAGTGGTTTATTGTTCAACAGTTTGTTTGCGAGCATTTCCTGTGCCAACTGCATTTCCCTTTCGTTGCGAAATACCAAGAACGCGTAGCTTGGAAAATTTGAAAAAGGGTTGACATAATGAACGCGTAAGTACAGTTAGCGAATAAGAGTGCAATCATAGCTTGCACTGAACCCAGTCTGCTCTTCGCAGATTACCCTTCGCAAGCTACGTAATGAAACTTAAGCTAACAAATTCCGTATTACCTGAATCAAACTTACACCCGTGCGATTAGAAAAAACACTGTGAGACCTTGGAAACTGATTCAATAATCGATTTCCCCATGTATTACTTCGTCTGTCCATATCTCAGAGAACAGCAAGTTCCCTCACGATGACTTCTTTAACATTTATAAAAAATCCGGTTCCTATGGTGCATACTTGATTTCTTGTTCAGACTGTTTATTAAAACAAAAGAATCACCTCAATTTTAGTACTGGTGTCAGCTAACTAGCCAATGAAGGCTTACCTTCATTTGATACATCAAAATAGAGACTAGAAATATTATCCTTGTGGTTGTAATAAAATCAATTATGAATTGATCGATTCATTGGGTCTTAAAGTGATATGTATCAAGTTAATGAGAGAAAGTAAATGAAATAATCTTCAGTTTGCTGATGACATCTTCCGATTGTGAAGAGATACCGCTATATAAATCAGATGTTTGCATAATAGCTTTTAGTGTAAAACAACTTACTGTGCACCAGATTTGGTTGGAAAACGAATGTGGATAGCCAACGGACAGAGATCCTTCAACAAACCGGGAGTGCATTTACGAGGAATGGGTCGGATTTGCAACACATAGGAACTTGTCTCGACTGTTGTGAGGGAGGGAGAAAGGTGAAATTCGAGAGGACCTGTGAAAAGCTGTTGTGATGTGGAAAAGGCACCAGGTAACTACTAGTTACAACCACAAACACTACTGTTTCCGATGACAAGTATTGGAGAAAACAGTAACCAGCACTATCAAAATGTTTTAACAAACTTCATCGCGTCGCAAACAGAAGAATGCGAGAACCCCGTGATCACAGACGTGCTCTTCGGTCAATGAAATCAGTAATTGAAGACCAGAGACTTACAGTGAAGAACCATAAGAAACCTCAAAAAGAATAGATGCGGTTTTGAGAGGAGTGCTAATGAAGTACCAACACCTAAGTTAAACAGGAACCAAGAGAATCACAGATTTAAAGGAGACGGAAGATGCTCGCTGCAACTTGCTCACTTATCATTATTCTGAGAAACAAACATAAGTTCCGGTAAGGCCTCGTTCCACCTTAGCATCAATCGAAAACGCATGAATTATTGCTGCCATGATGACCACAATAGAAATGCAATCAAATTGAGGACCTCACAAGTCAGATTACTTACCTAAGCGAGCCTGTGCAGCTGCCAGTCGTTTCTCATCTGTGTCCAACAAAGATACAAATCCTTTTCGTTTGGGTAAAACTATGCTAGATGATATAGGTGGTCCCTGAGAGAGGAAGCGGGAGGGATTGTAGAGTAAGCAGGAACGACAACAGTGAAAGTCAGAACACACGCTTCAAAATAAAATTTACTACATGTACTCCGCTAACAGCAGTGTGTTCCCACACAGTCCTCTACTTAGATGTGTTAATTCTCTTAAGGATTATCCACCTTGATTATCCATCCTTCAGACTTCATGTATACACACGATCACTAGATTATCCAGTTCACGTGGGAAGCACCTCACTTGAGTTTCCATCTCAGGGTTTGAAATCCGCGCGACTAGCTTGGAAGGTGTTACCACTGTGCCAACCAGCTCACAAGGTGGCTGATTAAAATCATCCATTTCCGTTTGTTCATGTTTTTGTCACAGCTCGTTTAGAATGAAAGAAACATCTCCCAAAAGCCTTCCACCGAATCAGGTATTTGACTAAATGAATTGGTCAAAAATGTTGGACGAAAGTTCCAATTTCCATTTCAACTTACAAATACCAGTAATTAGTAGTGTGGGCTAAGTTACTATCGATTTTGACTGACCATACAATACAATGTGGTTCGAATAGAAGTTGCAAGAAGTTTGCATGGGCCTTGGCTTATATCTGCTACGAAGGAAATGTAAGCAACACCATGTAGCCGTTCGACGAGAGCTGTGTCGAAAATTGGTGCTAGATAAGAACAGCCAGTGATGCGCGCAGAACTGAAGTAGTCGATCACCGTTGTCTGTTCGTTGGGCGGGAAGGGCGAAGTGCCCTCCTAGACAGGCTTCGGATGCGCTGTTTTTTAACCTGCGCGTTAAAATCACCTGCCAGCACTATAATATCAGAGTTGCGGCTCAACCGAATCAGTTCAGTGAGTTTGTCGTAAAATTCATCCTTTTTTAAGCGGGACTGCAGTTGGTTGGTTCATACGTGGAAATTATGAACAAACACCTTTTGGTGTTGCTACCCTTCCGAACATTAATTGATCCCTGTAGCCTCATTGCGCACAGACGACTATTGACGGGTATCTAATCTACCATAGAGGCTTCAGCTTTATCGTTTAGTACGATACCTACACCACGCTGACCCAGTGAGCGGGCTGCATCGTCTCCTGATGTGCGAAGGAAATAATTCGAGGACAGACATGCGCACTCAGGTGGCTTATAATACTAGGATCCTGAATTCGTGTCTCCGATACGCAGCAGACATCGATTTCTAGAGACTGTATTGTACGCACAAGATACCTCTGTTGAACCACCTGCATAAGAGTCCTCACGATGAAGGCCCCCAGATCGCGAGGTTGACCAGGCTTCAGAATCTGCACTTTATCTACAGGAAAACTAGTTACAGTATTATTTGGCAAAGACCTTTGACGAGTGACAACCAAGTTGTCTGAGGGAATGTTACGGGTGGGAAGAAGGGGTAAAGGGATAGGGTTGGGTACGGAAGACAGAGCTAAACAAGGGTGGGGATGTCTGAGCAGTGGCCCACTCACCCCGCTCGATGCAATAGGCAGCTCGGTCCTGATTATCCTTCGCGACGACCGATGCA